GTGTTTAAATTGATTTTAAGTGGACACAGGGACAAAACATTTGCTGTACCTGATACAGAGGCACTGACTGCTTGTCTGATTTTCTGAATTGTGTCAGTGAAGAAGGAGGAAAATTCATTGGCCCTGGTGGATAGAAGTTCAGAGGCTACTCACACTGGGGGGTCTGTTAGTCTGTCGACTGTAGCAAACAAGGCACGAGCTTTGTTTTTGTTTTTGGCAATGATGTCAGAGAAGAAAGACTGTCGTGCATTTTTCAATTCCAAATTGTAAAAGCCAAGTCTCTCTTTATAGATTTCAAAATGAACTTGGAGATTTTCTTTTCGTCACCTGCTTTTGACACTCTTTTTTCTGTTCTCACGGTCATGGCCTTTCTCCATGGAGATATTATCTTGCCAGACACTTCCTTTACCTTAATTGGAGCAATGGCATCTATAACATTCTTTTTTTTTTTTAGGGCAAGTGTGGAAGTAAACATTTCTCTAGTATTTTCAGTTAAATATCGCGAACATTTGTGTATTGTGCGTGGGCTCCGTCACATGCTGAGTCAGTAGTTATCAAGAACACAAAACAGTTCTTTAGCCCCTCTGTCCTGGGGGTTGTCAACATGGATATTCAAATCACCAACAATAACTAGACGGTCAAAGTCAATACACACTATAGACAGCAGTTCAGTAAAGTCATCAAAAAAGCTTGCACAGTATTTGGGTGGTCCTTCCTGCATTGAAGGGAATCATTGAACAAAATAGCAACTCCACCTCCTTTCTTATGCATTCTTTCCTGACTCATAAAACTAAAGTTGGGAGGGGTTGATTTGATAAGAACAGCTGCACTGTTATTTTGTTCAATCCAAGTTTCCGTTAAAAACATAAAATCGAGATTGTGCTCAGTGATAAAATCATTGATTAAAAACGTTTTTCCTGCCAAAGACCTGACATTTAATAAAGCTAGTTTAAGTTTGTTAAATACACTATCAGTCAGATTTGTTGTGACAAGCTGTGGCTGACATGGAATCACTGCCAAATGTTATAAACTCACATAAACGTTTGAGCACTGTTTCTAAGCCGATTCATTTGTTATTTATTGAGCTTTAAAACAAATTGATATGATTCGATATTAAACGAACTAATTATAGTAGATTAACTACATTATTCAAAAGTGTACAGTAATTTACAATAACAAGGGAATAATAAACGGAGCGCTCTCTCCTTCTCCTGACAGCCCGTCAGTATCATGCAGCTCGTGGATCCAGTAATGAGTGACCCGACAGTCAAAATAAACATATCTATAACTAGTTTAGGTAGTTTGAGAGGTAATTAAAATAGCTACGTGTGATGTTCTAACCTGAAGTGTGTGTGTTTTGTTCCGCTCACCGCTGCAGGTGATCATGCAGCAGCTGATCTCTCTCTCCCGTCAGATTAGACTTTACTCGCGTTTATGTCCATATCGATCAGATCTAGCTAGTTCTAGCTAATGATATGACTACCTGCTTATTAAAAGACACCTAAACAATAAGCGTCGCTATGCAACCGGGTGAGGCCACAAAGTATAGCGCAGCATTATGCATTTGTTTACATGCCCACCGGAACCCTGAGGCATTACCAACAGATCAACCCATACAGGACATCTCTTTCTCCACATTACGTGTTAGACATTAGAATTGACTATTCTTGTCTGTCACATACTATTCTTGTCTGTCACATAAGTGGCGCAACTGATGCGGTAATTATTAAATTATTTTGACCGGACATTTTGACCGGAGCGATTTAGATTTGACGGTCTTCAGCATATTTTACATAGTCATAGTCATAGTCCGGTAATTACCGGCTAACAGGAACTCTGTGTTAGAGATAAACAATTTTACTCCTGACTTGTTCAGGCAAAGTCCATCTGCCTTAAAAAGATGTCTGCGGTCCCAGAAAAAGTTAAAATTGTAAAATAACATGTTTTGCAATTTATCATATTCACTGCAGTCAAATTTATGACACGTAATTGCTGACCATTTGTCATTTCCTTTTCTTTAGGACTATTTATATTCAAGCAATATGTGTAACCGAGTTACATTTAGCTCTAGGAACGTGTTGCTCCATTGCTAAAATTTCAATATAGCTGTTTTACTTAAAGGTCCCATGTCATGCTTTTCCGGTTATTACCCGTCCCCTTGTGTGTTATGTAGCTTTTTCTGCATGTAAATGGTCTGCAAAGTCACAAACCCTCAAAGTACACCCTGTAGCGCAGTGACCATCAACTGGCGGCCCGCGCGCCACATCCGGCCCGCCATACATTCTCATCCGGCCCGCACGGCGGGGGTGACTGTGGCGTTGGCGGAGTGGTTAGTGCTTCCACCCCTATGGTTAGCCCCACACTCATGTCACCTCGAGTTACACGGGTTCGAGCCCCACGCTCGTCGAAAAACGTTGTTGTGTCCTTGATCAAGACTCTACATTCCCGAAGGTGCTGTATAGGTGATATGATATATATATAGGCTATATATATATATAAAGATGATGATTACTTTTATAAAAGAATAATTTTGAAAAATATGAGGAGAAGTTTATGTTTAATCCGTGTATGGTTCGTTCTTTGGTTTTTCCATTTCAAAACTGAATAGGAAAAACTAAAACCGGTGTTGTTGTTTTTTTCTGTTTTAAAACCAAAACGGAAAAACGGAAAAATAGAAAAACGGAAAACCAAAAAACCGACCTTATTCTGTTTTTAAACCAAAACGGGTTAACAAGAAAGTTACCAGTTCGCCAAGGAGGAAGTGGAGCACACAGGAGACAACCGTTTCATTGCAGACTGTTGTTTATGTGGGGAAATGGCAGCGCATACATTATTTGAGATATATTTCGACAGCATTTAGCACTACATCGAGATTAAGATTGAACGACTTCTTTCATTTGGGAACACACACTTATACCTATGGAGTTGGCCATATGTGTGTAAAATACTGTTCATGGTAATCTGAAACTATACTATACAGAGATGCTGTATGAGAAAACCAATGTGATTTTGGAACATTGAACAATGTAAATCTATTCTAGTAGAACTCAATAATGGAATTATGATCAGTAGAAATGGCCATGACATGGGACCTTTAACACTTAAAGGGGCCCTTTTATGCTCAGTTCAGGTTCATATTTGTATTTTGTTTCTCTACTGTGACATGTCTCCATGCTTTAATGTTCAAAAAGCTCTTTATTTTTCTCATACTGCCTGTGCTGCAGCACCTCTTTTCACCCTCTGTCTGAAACCAGAGCCCAGTCTGCTCTGATTGGTTAGCTGGCCGGCTCTGTTGTTATTGGTCAACCGCTATGAGATGTCCCGCCCCTTAGCCTATCACGTATAATGTGTTGGAGAGCTAAGCCAATAGAAGCGCAAGTGTTCTGAGTGATCTCTCTTTGTTACGGAAGTAAACAAAGGACTACAATAGAGGCGTTTTGGGGGGAACACAGGGATTTTAGCCTTTGCAGACCATTTACATGCACAAAAACCTATATAGTACACTACTTTCACTACAGGAAAGGGAACACCCCAAAAAGCATAATAGGGCCTCTTTAATTAATTTCTGTTTTAAACTGTTTCATGGCCATGGCCCTTGAATACTTAAGATGATCCCTATGAAATAGCGGACATTGTCATGGATAAACTAAGGCGCCGTTTACACGAGGAGAAAACTGCTTGGATCTGCATAGTTTCGCGTGCGTATAGCCCTATTATTTACACGAGGCCGATAGAAACTGACCCCACAAACGATAACGGGTCCCAAGGTGGATAGATTTGCAAACGAAACGCTCTGGGGGGTCAACCGAGTCCGTGTAATCACCTCTATACGAATATTTCCTGAAAAAATTGCGATAGCCCCACCTCTCCTGCTCACTGCTGTAGCAACTATCAAAAATAGCTGTGTTAATTAAACGCACAAGGGGTTCTTGAATGAAATAATATTATAAAAGGCAAACCAGAATTGTTAACGCCCAATATACTCCTTAAACAAAATAAACAGTCAGATTTCATGCATTGATCCATTATATTGACAAAGGAGGATCTCACCCGGTGTTTGTAGAGAATATCTCTCTTTTCTGAGCGGGTCCTCTCCACGGAGACGTCGGTCGATGCAATATCCACAGATTCGGTTTCTTTCAGTTAACTTCCCCGTTGCATTTATCCATATGCTGAGGAAATTACTATATCCCGCTGAATACCAGCAATCGCCACACACACCTGTCAGTAGCTACTGCTAGTGCTACTGCTACTGACCATGCTACAGATATTAGTGCAAAAATATACAGCTCCTCTACCACAACCATCAGCAACAAGTGGACATGGAGAATTACATGAACTACATGTTGCTAAATACACCGCGGGCCATGAACAGAAGGGTAGCCATGGCAACATTGCGGCGGGGGCTGCTGGGCTGCTCTTCTTCGCTACTTTTGGTGTATTTTGGCGGAAGTTACAGCGCCACTTACAGTCCCGGCATATGTACTACAGCGTTTCCAGCGGCCTCGTTTGAACAGACACGTTAAATGAAACTAATGCATGTGAACGGAAGACTTTTTTGAATACGCATACTGTGCATAAACGCAAACGGTCCCGTGTGAGCGGGGCCTGAAACAGTATGTGGAGCAGATTGCCCAGAAAGGATTTAGGAGATGCAAAATTGGTTTATTTTGGAAATAACATCAACATGCTTTTAATATTCAAATACTTCCTGGATACACACTTTGCTCCCTACACATATTGTTCACGTTCATTAATTTTCAGCTTTCCAAATCACCCCCCTGGAAAAATATTCAAAGCAGCTGCCAGCAACATTTGCTAAATTTACAATTTTTGGCCTTTGTGTTGATAATGTCCCCCATATTGCCCAAACTAAACATGGTCTCCCATAGATCTCATGCAAGTGACTTGCATTCTAATGTATCCATGTATGCATTTTAGGATATTTCCATGGAGAAAAAACAATAAGGAAAGGAACAAAAACACAAAGATAATTGTGGCTTGTGATATATTTATTCAATAGCAAAACATAGTTAAAACTCATAAATCCACATGTGAATAATGAATAACTCCCCTAATACAGTGTATCTGATCTCCAAGGCTTATTTACATAGGAACAGAAACATCTACTTTTTTTATGACTGATTTTGCTTTTTTTCCCATGTCTTATCTTTAGGGCATTGAGTAATGTATGTTCTAATGTGAGCCTGTTCTTATTGGTTCCCACATGTTAGAAACGTCAGGGGAGCAGAAGTGGTAAAGCAGCAATAATGTGGGTAATACCCAAGGCACAATACATACATAGTGTTTGTCTACATACATAAAATAGCATATGTCGGTCATCGGTTGTTACACACACATTAGGTATTTGGATATGCTGTAAACATTTATGTGAGTAATTTTGTATCAATATCTCAGAAGACTGAAGACAGAAACACACAGGCTTCATTCCCATATCAACTTCCATCACTCTGGTGCTCTGTACAATGGAAACAAAATGTATGTATATCCCTGTCTATGTCCAGGTGCTGGTCCTGTACTTGTTTTTATCTACGTCTTCATTAAGCACAGCGGGTTGGTCCTCCAGCAGTGACAGATGGTGTTGAAGAGTCGGCAGCGGCAGGAGGCGCAGGGGTCGCAGCACGGGACGTAGGCCGAGCAGTGCTCCATCAGCCGGCCGCATCGACGTGCAGGCCTCATGGCATTTGACTTGTGCTTCTGAAACATGGAAAAATAGGTTCAACATGTGAACAAATACATAACTTAAATAGCATACAGTCCTTAAGATTACTCCAAACCCTTGTCATTTTAAGCATTCACAACTGATTCATTGAAAAGTAAGGCTGTTTAAGAGTAACAAAGAAAGCTTACAGGAGTTCGACTTTCTGGCGGCGGAGAAAGCTTTCGCCTCGCGAACAGTCGTTTGGTCCTAGCTTGGCCCAAAACTAAAAATGGAAAAAATAGAACAGTTAATACTGACGGTAAAAAACTCTTGGTAAACATTCCCTAATGTAATGCTCTCTGTATTTTTTGTTCGGAGTTGGATTCTTTTCCCGAGAAAAACAAAAAACACACTCTCTTGAGAACTACATACATTCTGGCCACGAAACAATAGGCCTTGTGTTCATTCCACTTTGAAGTGGAATTCTTCTATAAGGATATCCAGATGGGTTTTCTGGTTGTCCTGGGGTTACCTTCCAGTCGGACCTGTCAGGAATACCTTTTTCAGGTAGGTGTCCAGGAGTCACGCTGATCAGACGTCTACACCACTTCAACATGCGACTTTCATAGTGAATGTGCACCAAAAGCTTCTGTCTGAGGTCAGAGCTCTTTGCTGTCCAATTTCAATCTGCATCTTATTATGGTGAATGGGTTTGTGGGAGCTGTATTGTCGGGTACAGAGTCCCTTATTGTACAGGCAGTAGCCTCTACCAAGGCACCAGCGATTTAAGAAAGCGTAGGACTGGACCACAAATGCAGAGATCAACCGTACAGTAGAGATGGCAAATCCGGATCATTTTACGGACTCAGGGTCTTCTGAGTCAGTCATTGAAGAGATCCGGATCATACGAGTCATTTGAGTCATATGAGTCAGCATGACCAAGACCGTAGAAATCCTATCGGTGAAACCGAAAAGTTGTTGCATTTCACAAGCATATTATTATTCCATATATTTTGAATATATATATATATTTGTATATATATATATATATATATATATAATATCTGCATGTATATTTTCTATTTCGACATGTATATTTTATATTTTATTTTTATTTCTATTCTTGTATATTTTGTAGTTTTGTTTTATTGTAAAATGCCTTTTATGCTGCTGTAACAACAACAATTTCCCAATTTGGGATCAATAAAGTACTATCTATCTATCTATCTATCTATCTATTAAACTGACGTTATATTAACCTCCGCTACACAGTGTATTTTGCTTTAATAAAAAATGTTGATCACAAAAAAAAGGGTTATTTTGCGATTTGGCAAATCTGCGTGAGGACGAGTCTGCTGGATCTCTGGATCTGCTGCTACAGTATATACGGCTCCGAGTCCGCACGAGTCTGCTCTGCTGTGTGTTGCACACACAGTGAGTCAGGATTTGCGAATCCGAGTCTGCTGTGGACTCGTGCATGACGACGAGTCTGCTGGATCTCTGGATCTGCTGCTATATGGTTACAGCTCCGAGTCCGCACGAGTCTGATCCGCTGTGTGTTGCAGCGAGTCAGGATTTGCGAATCTGCGAATCTGCGAATCTGCGAATCTGCGAATCCGAGTCTGCTGTGTGGACTCGTGCATGACGACGAGTCTGCTGGATCTCTGGATCTGCTGCTATACGGTTACGGCTCCGAGTCCGCACGAGTCTGATCCGCTGTGTGTTGCAGCGAGTCAGGATTTGCGAATCTGCGAATCTGCGAGTCTGCTGTTGGAGCCGTCGGCTCCTCTGAGTCCCCACGAGTCTGCAGGAAGTTTCACTGATCCGCGTCCCCTCCCCTGAGCCAAACGATCACTTCTGGCAGCTATCCTGTATACTTGCTAAAGGGTAGGTAGATGGACTGGGGTACGTTGTAATGTGATTTTACATGTTATAAAGAGAGTAGCGAGTGACGCAATTTATAGTTTTAATTTGTACGTCACACCAAGTGTGGGACTCAAGGACTCGGGTTAATGGAGAGGGGAGACTCGTCACGACCAGCTCATTTCTAGGATCCGGGTTAATGATCCGGATGAATCAGGACTCGCCCATCTCTACCGTACAGTAAACCCACTCTTGGAATCGGTTCTGGAACCATTGGGCGTTGTTGGTGAGGCCACAATATGGGCTCGCCACCCACAAAGAAAACTGGATTTTATTTAGTATGTTGAATTTGTAGCTAAAGTAAATGCACATTTTCCTCCAAACAAGTCAAGGAGCCTCATTGACTTGACCTTGCGGGCGTCCTTCCATGTGCAGGCTGTCATCAGGTGAGTTGATCTTTGTAAGGCTTTCCCTGAGTTAGAACAACTGCAAGTCATTATTGGCCTCTTTCTTTGCTTTATGGCCATCCTGATGCAAGACCTGGAGAGGGTTATAATACTTATTACATTTTACGAGGGAAGCATTTTCATGCCTTTCTAGGCATCATCTATCAGCCTGTCGACAGAAGGATGTGCTTCTGGTCACCTTGAAGTCTGCATCTCCTCTCTTTTTTCATAACAGAGGGAAGAGTTAGATGGAAACTATTTGGCTCGCATTAAAGAAAAATAAAATCTTGGAGAAATGACATATCCTTGCAGAATGTTAAAACGGCTCCTTACTAGTTGAAGGTTCTGCTGTTTTTGCTTATTTTGTTGGCTTGATCTTTGCGGTACAGATACATGTCACTCTGTATAACTCACTACTGCAAGTACTTAAACATCTCAACAACAAGTTGATGGATTTCCATGAAATTGGGTAGAGACATCAATGGTTCCCAGGAGATAAATACTAATGACTGTGGTTACCTCATTGAATTGCCTAGTGTTGAAAGGTGCTATATAAATAAACTTGCCTTGGTTTGCCTGACAACCTCTATTCTGGTGCCACCAGCAGGTTTACATTTGGGCTTATGAGTCAAATATTTGGTAACTACTTATTGAAATATTCATGTTGCCAAAAACACGACTTGTAATCAACTTGGTGATTGTACATTTTTTATTTAGCGCCATCATCTTCTCAAAATTATAATTGTTCAAATATTTTGGTTTATGACTAAATACCTGCATAACACTCCCATCAACTGTACTTTAGCAATAATTAGCAAATGTAAGCTATCGTGCTAATAAGGTCTTTGTGGTGCTATGTTTTATGATTTAAGAACGCAATGGTGAACCTTGGTTTTGTTATAAAACACATGTAATAGGTGAGGAAAATATGTCTTAAAGAGGTAGACACATCAGATTAGTTGGCATCTGATAATTGCAAATAATATGATAAATGAAAGGTCATTCATGGCCTTTGAATCTTTGGTTAACCCTATTTTTTTTTTTTTTGTTTGATCAAGTATAGGAGGATTTCTATCATGCATGTATAACTTGAACTTCATCTCCAAACATTGGAAATTGATCATGACAAATAGTAGTTTTGTTTTTGGCAGCTAACAGTTCCAAAAAGCACAAAGAACCGTATGTTGAATACAATAAGTAGGGTAGGTTTTCCATACCACAGTAAATTCATTCATCATGGCCGATCAGCTGCACACATGGCCATCATTTTTTGGAATATTTGCTTTGAAGCCATAGCAGCTAATAGAAACAGTTTGATCAATGTCAGTGATGAAATGGAATCCAAATGATATGGTTAAACTCCTCCTCTCTGCTGGACGGTCTTTGAAAACATGACCAAAAAACCTTCATCAATGTTCAACTGCAGACACTGGCACCTTCTATTCATTGTACTACAGTGTATCATTTATAACCTTTGCTATGCAACAAATCAGAAACCATCCTTCTTGTCCCAGATCAAGATTAATCGCTGCACCTTCCCCTCTAATCCATCTCATCACCTTTGGCTAGTCTTTGACCAGATGTTTAAAATCTACCCGTTATTTTGCAGAGAATACCTTCAGCCCAGTTGTGTTGATGCCTGTTCTCCTGCTGATGCTGAGGCCCTCGCCAACCATAGGCGGCGCCAGGGGGGCGCTAGGGGGTGCTGAAGCTCCCCCTAGGATAGCCATAGCACCCCCTAAGCACCCCCAAGAAATGTATGTGTCTTTTTAAATAATTTGAAAAATGATTGATTCGAAAATAATATGCTACAGTAGGCCTACACGCAGGCTACTTCTGGGTCTCCGTGTTTCATTCAAGCTCGGCTCTGTGTGTGTGTGTGTGGCACGAGCCATTTTGTGTGTGTGTGTGTGCGTGCGCGAGCGAGCGAGAGAGAGAGAGAGAGAGCGCGCACTGGTACCGGAGATTGTTGTTGTTGTTAGCATCTGGTGCTAGCTAGCTACGCTAACAGATATAAGGAGCTTTTTCAACAACAAGGTGGAGGGAGAACTCTCTCCTGTCAGACTGAGAGTCTCAGATAACCTCAGCTCAGGTGAAGTAAAGAACTCTCTCAGTGTTTAGATAGTTAACTTTAGTCTAAGTTATCTCAGTGGGTCTCAAACGGTTTGGTCACGATTAATCTAAACAATTATTTCTGGGGCACACGTTTATATGATCATTATAGGTATAAAAAAACAAGAGAATAAATGAAAAACAGGTATGAAATACTATATGACACAGTAAAACAAGAATACAGTTTAAAAGTGGAGTGATTTGTAAAATATCCATAAAGAAATAGAAAATCTGTTTACAGTTCTGTTTCATATGGGTGTTGAGAGATGTATCCATAGATCTCTTCATTTGGCTCTCAAAGTGCACCAGATTGATGCATTTAACTTTAATATTTTCAAAAAAAATCTCCCGGGGGAGGTTAGGTCCACCACCGACTTACAAAAATAGCACTTTACCCCTGCTTACACCTATATGCGGTGAGCTGATTATCGAGCCTTCATTGTAACAGTCGCGGGTACTGTGTATGTGCGTGTGGGGAGTGTACTCAAACGAATCTAAGAGGCACGTTTTGTACTTTTTACTGCACTACATTTACTGTATATGACAACATCTATTTTTAAGAAATGTAATATTTATAGACAATAATAGTATGGCGACTTATTATAGATTTGCTACCCAGCATTTTTCTACATCCTTCCCAGCTGCCACATAAAGTATAGACTATATAATATATACAGATTATAAGTAATAGTATTTTGGGGGTTTTAGGTATATTTGAATGTCAATACTTTCTGTAGTTTTAATTTATTTTTATTTTGTCAAGTCTTTCACCAATGTTTGTTAGTATAATTCTAATTGCTATGGTCAAAAATGATGGATTGGGCATTTCCATGTGACAGACTCTGCACATGTCCTGCTCAAA